GGTGTTCCAGGCACATCCCACTGGGAGGAGGCCCAAAAGTGAATCCATTAAGGATTACCTCCAGTGATTCTTCAACAATGTTTTAAATAATGATATTACCATGCCCCTCCCCTCCCCCCACCCTAGCCCAAAGCAAACCAATGGAAAGCCCTGCAAAGGTTTAAAATATAGTCACCACAAAAAGTCAGTAAATTAGTGTTTGGTAGATAATATTTCTTTGTTGTAACAATGCTCCTTGGCAAAAAATCTTAAACTGTTGGAAAGTGTGTTCATTTGTTTCAACACTTGTTTTGAGCTTCTGTTACTCCCAGCTGCTGCCAGTCAGCTGCAGCTAATAGATTTATTTATAGAAGTATTGTTCCAACAAAGAAGTAATCTGCCAAACACTAATTTACTCACTTTATGTGTGAAGTATAGAGCACAGATGAGGGGGGTAAAGAGGAGTTGAGGAAAAGTTTTATTGCTTATCACAAATAAAGAGAAACAGCAGCTTTGACATGCAATGACTCTGCAGCAGGACTGAGGCTCGGCCCACTAATGGTTCGTTCAGCAGCATGTAGCAGCACACTGAACCACAAGCTTCTGCTGTGACCTCAGCTCTGCTCTGCTCTGTGGTTTGGCTAAAACTTGTGTACCCATGACATCTTTCACACAACAGAGGCCAGAACCACAAGTAGGTTGAAGCTGATTTACTGCAAATTATTACAGATATCAAAAGAGACTTCAGTTTGTCTCAAACAGAACTTAGTTTGTCTTTGCAGACATGAAGAGTCAGGGGAAACATGCTCAGAAAGCTATCATCTGTCTCAGTTCAAAACTGAGGAACACAATGAACTTTCTGCTGCACATATTGGCAAAGAGGAACCTATGACCAAACTTGTTTTTTAATTATCTCTCGGAAGGAAGCACAAACAGGAAGTGAAACTACACAGCAAAGATTAGAACCAACAGAGCTGCTCTTGTTTTTCTACAAAGACTTAAAAATGTGCATTTTTATTGTTACATCAAAATAAAAGCAGAGGTTTATAGTAACTCCGTACATTTACTTCCTCACAGTACTCAAGTAGTTTTTTTGAGGTTTTGTAATTTTACCAATTATTTTTTAAATAGCTACTTCTACTTTTACTTTTATTTTGTTACATTTTAAAGATAAAAAGGTTACTTTTACTTCATTACTATAAAGG